CTTTTAAAAAAAATACTGTTAACATATTTTTAGTGCACACTCAATAGTTTTTTCTAATATACAATGAACATTCGTTAATATACATGACATTTTTTCAATATAGGATGAACTTTTTTAATGAACATTAAACTTTTTTAATATCCATTGAGCTTTCCTGTAACAAATACTAAGCTTTTGTTATTATACAATGAACTTTTTTATAAAATATGTATTGAAACTTTTTCCAAATATTTTTTCCTATTGTAATAGGGTTTTTAAATATCCAGCTCCAAAACAACAACTGTTTTTTTGGGTGAAAACCCGACTAAAAAATCAAAGTAGAAAAATATAAAATACACTGCAGGCGGAATGGGTGGGCTCATTTCTTCCTGCTACATTGAAGCCTCCCCTAGTTGACACACATGGGCAAAGCACGAGGGTTTGTTTAAGGGTTGCAGTCTGAGCCATCGCCGCCGACGAGAATTTGGGGTCCCCTCAGCTCCGGGTGCCATCTTGGCGTTTTGAGGTGAAGGGACCTTGCATCTTGAAGAGTTCTACGTTCTTCGTCATCATCTAATGATCATCGTATTTTGTGAGAATAAATTTACTCTCATTCTTTTGTGGAGTTACTTTGTAATTCTTTGTCATAGGAGTTACTTCGTATTTTCTTGGATCTTAGAACCAAAATAATGTACCTATAATGGTTATGAATATAAATACAATAACATATGTTTATCAAAAAGAAGTTGACACACATGGGCGTAAACGATATGTGCACGTATGTCTCGCTTATAGCGAGGCATAGGGTGCGGCCGCGTCAGATGCATCCCTTATGGGCCGGTGCAGCGTGCGGGAGGGCACAGGCCACATCCTCCTTTTTCCCCATGTTTCTTGTTTTCATTTTTTTATTCCAGATATTCTAAATAGATATATTACAAAAAAGACTGTACATAAAACATTTGAAGAAGTTAACAAAGCATTTGAAAAAGGTTAAATATGTATAGCAAAAATGTTTCTCGTGTATACCAAAAAGATACAATGTGTATGATCATGTGCTAACAAAATGTTAATCAAGCATTTCAATTTTTTAAATGTGTATGTATACTTTAAATATAAACAAAAAAAATACAATGCGTATGGAAAAACATAGATAATGTATTTTAAAAAGTTAAATTTGTATTCAAAAGTGTTCCAGGATAGACAAAAATATACAACGCACATTAAATAAAAGTGGACATAAAAGATCATATATTGTAATAAAGTTGATTCTGTAGTTATGAAATGTTAAACATGTCTATAAAAATGTTCCTGGTGCATTAAAAATGTAAATTATGTTTACAAATGTTTGTCGCCATAAAATTGTTCACCGTGTATAGAAAAATGATCATTTTGTATTATAAAAATATTAATATTGTATTTAAAAATATTGAATGTGTATTAAAGTTTTATTAGATACACACCAAAAATATACTATGTGTATGAAAAAAGTAGACGTAAAAAATATATGTTTTCAATATATGGTAATCATGTATTTAAAAAATATTGAACTTGTATATGAATTACATTTTTTATGTATACAAAAAATGTTGAATATGTACTGAAAAAAGTTGAAATGTGTTGAACAAAAAAGAAACTGATGAAAATCGACAAAGAACCCCAATAAAACAAAAAGTAAAATTTAAGAAAACCAAAAAGTAAAATGAAAATCTGAGAAGACGAATGCAAAAGGATGAAAATAGAGAAAGTCAAGGAAAAAAGAATGTCGATGAAAACCAAGAAAGAAACAAAAAAAAATGAAGAAAGAAAGAAAAGCAAAAAGGAGAATAAAGAATAAAAATAAAATGAAAACTAGTGAAAACCATGAAAGAAATGAATAAAAACGATGAATTTTTAAATTTTTGTGATAAAGAAACAGAGAAAATCGAAACAAAGTATTAAAAAGGAAAAAAAACTGAACCAGACCGCCGGCCGCGTGAAGAGGGTCATATAAGACATTTCTTTTTCGACGAGGGGCAGGTGAAAAAGCTACTCTGCTTCTCTACAGTAGTGGGTTGTACTTCCTCCGTTTCTAAATATAAGACTTTTTAGAGATTCAAATATGAAGTAAAATGAACGAATCTAATTAAAAAAAATTAAATCCTATTATTGAAGAAAGTACATTCTAAAATATGTCTATATACATCCATAAAAGCAACTCCAACGGGGTGACTCATTTCGTCCGCAGCCGTCCGTTTGGGTCGGTGCGGACACAAAAGGCGGCCCAACGCGCCGACCCAAACGAATACGCGTTCGCTTTTCGTCCGCGGGCGACCTATTCCCGACCCATTTTTAAGCCGGATTTGCGTCGGCGCGGACAGCGACGGACGCGCGGACGCTCGCCCTCTCCTCCCCGGGCCCGCCGTTCGGTGGCACATTGGCCTCCCCCCACCCAACAACAACCCTCACCCACCTCCTTCGTCGCCGACGCCACCGCCCATTTTTGCCGGTAACTCTGCAAGCTGTCGGCGCCTCCACATCTGCCCAGCAACGCCGCCCATTCCCACGTCGCCCACCGCCACCGTCTTGCCACCGGGGAGCCGATTGCTTCCCACCCCCGCCCCCGCCCCATAACACAGCCGCCCCTGACCAAGAAGCCGCCTCGTCGCCCGGCTAGATCCTCACTGACACGCTCGTCGGACACCGGCAAGGCAGCTAGCTGGTCCGTGCGCGCCGCAACTCCCTTCGCCGGCCGTCTCCTTCGTCGACGCCCGCAAGTTGTTTGCCAGTTTAGCAAGATACAAAATGGACTCTGCCGACGAGTTCTTTTTTCACAATTTCCTTTGCGACTCTGACGATTCATTGTCTGATGACGAGGAGGAGATATTGGCTGCCATATTGGTCCATCACCACCTCAAACAGCCAGCGGCCATTGTTCCATGGCTCCATTCCGGGCCACCTTCCGGCGTTGAATCGCAACCGAGAGAGCGGGAATTTCCTTCTTTGGAAGGACTACTTTGATACAACAAACCCGTTGTTCAAACATCAAAAATTCCGCTGCCGTTTTCGTATGAGTAGGCATCTTTTCAATCGTATTAAAGAGGGGGTGGTCAGCTATGATGAATATTTCGAGTGCAAAGAGGATGCCGTTGGTAAGATTGGTTTTTTCTCTTGTCAGAAATACACTGCCACCATCCGAATGCTTGCATACAGAATGCCTGATGATCTCATTGACGAGTACATCCGTATGAGCGAGTCTACTTGCCTAGAGTCCATGTATAAATTCTGCAAGGCTGTTATTGTTGTGTTTAGCCCTGAGTACTTGAGAGAGCCGACTGCTAAAGATACAGTCGGTTTGTTGGCGATGAATGCCAGCAGGGGCTTCCCAGGGATGCTTGGTAGCATAGACTGCATGCATTGGGAGTGGAAGAACCGCCCTTCTACTTGGCAAGGGCAGTATAAGGGCCATGTTAGGGCTTGCGCTGTCATACTAGAGGCTGTGGCGTCTCAAGATCTCTGGATCTGGCACTCTTTCTTTGGCATGGCCGGATCACACAATGATATCAACGTGCTTCAGGGCTCGCCGGTGTTTGCTAGGCTTGCCGAAGGCAACATCCCACCGGTGAACTTTACTGTCAATGGCCACAACTACGACAAAGGATACTACGGTATCTATCCTCAGTGGACCACTATTGTCAAGAAAATATCCAACCCTGTCGGAGAGAAGAGGAAAAGATTTGCTCAAAAGCAAGAGAGTGCTAGGAAGGATGTCGAGCGGGCCTTTGGTGTTTTGCAATGTCGATGGGGTATCGTTCGGTATGCTGCTAATACCTGGAGCACGCAGAAACTGTGGGAGGTAATGACTGCTTGTGTGATCATGCATAATATGATCGTAGAAGACGAGCGTCCGAAACATCTGTACGATCAAGGGTTTGAGTTTCAGGGTGAGAATGTTGTGCTTGAGCATGGAGAAGCGGCAATGTTTGAACAATTCATCCAATTTCATCCCGACATGCGTGTTTGGGAAACTCACGTGCAACTGCAAAATGATTTGGTTGTGTATAGGTGGGCTCATGTTGGCAACCAAAAGATGTATCTTGTTTTATTCGTTTGCAAAACTATGTGAGAAATATGTCAGACATTTTTATTTTTATTCGGCTTGTAAAACTATGCTATTTTTTTTTCAGTTCAAACTATGCAAATTCGTCAATGCAAAATAGGGCAGCCAACCGGCCACGCCAGCACATATGGGTCGGCGCGTTAGGCGCGTTGCCGACTCATATCTGAAACAGGACGGAGCCGGCCGGCTGGCCGATCCAAACGGATAAAAAACAGACAAAATCACCATTCGTTTGGGTCACCCAATTGGGGTTGTTTTTATGTTTTGTGCAACAAACCTGAAAAATAGGTGTTTTGTGCTACGCTAGCACCAAAAATAGGGGATTTTGCAATTTCCTCGGACTCACTGTAGTGAGCGAGTGCGACGAGACGAGTGGAGTGCCCGTACGTGCACTGAAGCCCGTGGCTGTGCGTGTGCCGCGAAAGGCGTTCTGATTCAGAGGTCCTGCACGCACGCAAGACGAGTACTCCTGCTTTCTGGCGGGACGTGACGGATGATGCCATCTCATCCAAATCCAATCCGATGAGCAATGAAGCTGGACCGTCGGCGTCTTCCGTCTGGGCCCGTCTCTCTCTCTGCTTCACTCCTGTGTCTGCTTTGCAGCAAAGCAGCGAGCAGAGAGTTCACGTGGTGTGTTTGATTCCGCTTCAGATTTGCAGACTTCAGCCGGGTGGTTTTGTGTCACTAACATGCGGGCCATTTGGTTCTCGGACCCACACGTCAGTGATGCTAAGTGCTCTGACTTAAAGTCCGCGAATCCCACCCCGTTTGATTCGATGGCCCGCCCACCTAGTACCCGCCTATAGCTACACCTTCGTCCTCATCATCCTTTTCTTGACCTGTAGCTCCACTGTTTCATCCAGTTGCACTGCACGTCTACACCACAGCACAGCGCGCACACCACACGGGCGGGGCGTAGATAGGGATGTCGTGGGAGGAGCCCGGCAGCCCGCAGCTGAGCCTCAGCGGCTTCAGCTCCCTCCCCTCCATCTCCAGCACTGCCCATCCGCCTGCCCGCCTGCCCTCCCTCTCCCTCAGCATCGGCAACGGTAGTGCCGACGGAGAGGATCAGCAGCTGGGCGTCAGCAGCGACGACGGCCACAAGAGCATTCGGGCGATGAAGAACAGGGAGTCGGCGCTGCGGTCCAGGGCCAGGAAGAGGGCCTACACGCAGGAGCTCGAGAAGGAGGTCCGCCGGCTCGTCGAGGACAACCTCAAACTCAAGAGACAGTGCAAACAGGTACGCCTTCTTCTCTTCTTCTTCCTCCAGTTCCATCTCTCTTTCTTGGTTGCTTGCTTGTGCATGAGTAATTAGTTAACTCAATCCCACGTTCCTTTCTCTATCTCTTCAGCTTCAGTCGGAGATCGCTGCACTCAGCGCCCAGCAGGCAAGCAACAAGCAGAGCAGCCCACACCGGAGAACTTCGTCCACTCAGTTCTAGCAGCGCTACACCAGGATGCGCGAGGGCTTCATTTTCATCGCTGGCTAGCAATTGATTAGTATCAGTAAGATCTAAGATGAGCTGGTAGTTGGATTTTGGCTTCAATGAACTCAACTGCACGATCGAAATGCCAGCGCGTGGGCTTACTTTGCCTCGGCTGATCCGTTCATCTCATGTGCATTTCTCTGCATGTATTGCTGTGTGCACTAGTCAGACTGGATGCCTGGACCAGAGCACATGCAACCTGCCTGCGATTAATTGTGTTGCAGAGCACCTTTATTAATAATGCTGAATCGCAATCCAATTGTGCTTGTTAGCTTCAGAATTGGATCTGAGTAGCCCCTTGTTGGGTAGTTGAATTGTTCATCTCCCATTTAATCACCAGCCAAAATCATCATCGATTGTGACTGTCAATCCGGAAACCGATCCGACGATGTAGCCTCCGTCGTCTTTGTCGTGGTGGTTGCTCGAATGCAAATGCTTCTTCTTTCGTGTAGCCATCTTGTGTGTGGCGTATGCACTGCCGAATGACAGACTTAAGACTTAGGGGCTGTTTGGTTGAGCGTTGTTTGGTTCCTAGCCACACCTTGCCACACCTAATCTTAGATAAGTTTGACCAAATTAGGTAGGTGTTCGGTTCTAGCCACACCTAAGGCAAGGATTTTTTTTTATGAGCAGTGAGCCTCATATATTATAGACACAAAAAGTGTGGCAAGATTCCCTTAGGCAAGTCAAAGTATGGCTAACAATTTGAGCAACTCAATTAAGACAAGTGTGGCAAAAATCATATGGCTATGGCAAAGATAGTCACAATCTAAACAGCCCCCAGTTTGCCACCCCTAAACAGAGGCAGGTGTGGCGCGCCACAAAGTGTGGCGACTAAAACGAGCGCCACTCCTTAGGCAAAAATTCCTACAGCAAAAGCCTCTTCCAGCTGTGGCAGGCCTAACCTTAGTAGAGAACCAAACGTGTACCTAGAAAGATGTGGCGTTGGCGTGGCTAGCTGTTGAAAATCATCTGAGATTTGAGGGATTTGAGCTAGGGATTGGAGGGAGTGTGAAGAGCATTTGGGGAATTTCTGGATCGTTCCTCACCGATCCATTCTCTCTGCTGATTTATATATTGTTTGTATAATTTACATTTTAGACCCTATAGACTCACCTAATTACATTATCTACACACCAACACTCCCCCTCAAGATGGGGTGAATATGTCGTACAAACCCATCTTGCTACAAAACATGGAAAAAGTCTTTTCTGGGAGTCCTTTTGTAAGTACATCTGCTACTTGACTTGCTGAAGTTACATATGGTAGGCAAATTATCCCTCTATCAAGCTTCTCTTTGATGAAATGACGATCAATTTCTATGTGCTTGGTTCGGTCATGTTGAACGGGGTTATTTGCAATGTCAATAGCAGCTTTGTTGTCACAGTACAACATCAAAGGTTTGTACTTATACAGCCGCAGCTCTGTTAGGAGAATCTGCAACCATAATAACTCACATATGCCGTGAGCCATAGACCTAAACTCGGCCTCTGCAGTAGACCGAGCCACCACACTTTGTTTCTTACTTCGCCATGAAACTAGGTTTCCTCCAATAAATGTATAGTAACCAGATGTTGAGCGCCTGTCATCTAGGGAACCAGCCCAATCAGCATCAGTGTAGCACTCAACTTGCAAGTCCCCTTGTTTGGTATATAAGAGGCCTTTTCCTGGGCACCCTTTAAGATACCGTAGGATCCTATTTACAGCTTCCATATGAACTGATTTTGGGTCATGCATGTATTGGCTAACTACACTCACAGCAAAGGCAATATCTGGACGGGTATGAGATAAATATATTAACCTTCCAACTAGTCTCTGGTAGCGTTCTCGATCCACTGGTGTCCCAGCATCACTACATAACCGATGATTTTGCTCAATAGGTGTAGCAGCAGGTCGACAACCAAGCATACCTGTTTCCTTGAGCAGATCCAAGATATATTTTCGCTGTGAGAGAAAAATACCTTTTGACCCTCGTGAGACCTCTATACCAAGAAAATATCTTAGTTGTCCCAAGTCCTTCACTTCAAACTCATGTGCAAGATGACACTTCAGATCTGCAACTTCCTTGGAATCATCTCCAGTAATCACAATGTCATCGACATACACTATCAAGATTGCAACCTTGCCATTAGTATGCTTGTAAAATAGCGTATGGTCAGCATTACTTTGAAGATAACCCCTCTTTAGCATAGCATGTCTAAACCGATCAAACCAAGCACGTGGTGATTGCTTTAAGCCATATAAAGAACGATGTAGGCGCAATACCTTTCCAACAGTTTGACTTGACTCAAATCTAGGTGGTATATGCATGTATACTTCTTCTTGGAGATCACCAAAGCATTCTTCACATCCATCTGGTAAATATCCCAATCAAGGTTTACAGCACATGATATAAGTGTCCTTACTGAATTCATCTTTGCCACCGGTGCAAAGGTCTCTTCATAATCGATTCCATATGTTTGCGTGTAGCCTTTTGCTACAAGGCGGGCTTTGTACCTCTCCACCTTGCCCTCAGGGGTGTGTTTAATAGTGAAGACCCACTTACAACCTACAGGTTGCTTACCTGGTGGTAGATCCACAAGCTCCCAAGTCTCATTCTTCTCCAAGGCTTTCATCTCATCAAGCATTGCTTTCTTCCAATTTGGGTCCTCTATAGCTATTTTCCAGTTTGATGGTATGGAGATAGAATCTAAAGATGCAATAAAGCTTTTGAAGGGTGGAGTACAATATTTATAGGAAATGAAATTGGCTATATCATGTTTAAAATCCTTGAGGTGTCCTGGAATATTTCGATTTCTAGTAGGTTTCCTCACAGCAATAGGCAGGTCATTTCAGGAGCAAGGATAGATAATTGGTTATCACTCTGCCTTGTGGTGCTAATAGGAGCGACTGGACTAGAGGGATTATTGTTAGTACCTGGGTCCTCATGCCTGTGAAGCTCACCATCTTGTGAAGGAAGTGAAGAGTTTCCTGTTGCATCTTGTATGTCTCCATGACCAGAACCATGATTACACCCATCACTATTTGTGTCCTCCCCCTGATTTTGAGCATTATCTAGAGTAGGTAAACCATCCGAAGTGGAAACAAGAATAGGGCTTAATGGAGAGCCTTCATTATCCCCCTCCCCTTCTTGTTGCACTTCAGGTGGAGATAGGGCAATGCCAGTGTCACTGGTTAAGCCATAATATGATTCATGTTCACGGAATGTCACATCCATGCTCACAAAAAAAGGGTGCTCCGAAGGGCACCAACACCTATAACCCTTTTGAGAGGGAGAATAACCCATGAAAACACATTTGAGAGCACGGGGATCTAATTTTCCAACAAAGTTCCTATAATCATGCACAAAGCAAACACACCAAAGACCTTTGGAGGAACTACAAAATCATTTGTTTTCAAGAGACACTCAGCAAGAGTCTTATGGCCAAGAACCCGAAGAGGCATATGGTTTATCAAATATGTTGCAGTTTTTATTGCTTCCCCCAAAGAAATTTAGGCACATTCATTGTAAACATAAGTGAGCGTGCAACCTCAAGCAAATGTCTATTGTTACGCTCTGCAACACCATTTTGTTCTGGAGTGTTAACACAGGTAGTTTGATGTTCAATGCCGTTTGAGACAAGGAACTGTTCAAACTCCTGGTTCATGTATTCTGTACCATTATCTGAACGTAAGGTTTTAATAGTTGCCCCATGTTGATTTTTAATGAGAGCATATAGATCTTTAAAAACTGAGCACACATCACTCTTATGCTTCAAGAGATAGAGCCAAGTGTAACGACTAAAGCAATCGATAAAAGTTACAAACCATCGATGCCCAAAAATCGAACGAACCTCACAGGGTCCCCAAACATCTGAGTGAATTATTTCAAATGGTTTGGCACTTCTTAATCCTATACTAGGATATGAACCTCTTGTATGTTTAGCCAATTCACAAGCATCACATACAAGCAATTCCCTAGGGCACAACTTGAAAAGAGAGGGGTAAATACTAAACAATGCAGCAAAAGAGAGATGCCCAAGCCTGCGATGGTGTAGTAGTAGTTCTTGACTAGGAGACAAGCATGATGCAAAAGCAACTTCATCACTCCCTTCATCAAGATAGTAGAGTCCATCATGCACGGTCCCAGTCCCCAACAGTCTCCCTGTCTCTAGCTCCTGAAAAGCACACCAGGTAGGATAAAACAAACCTCTACAATTGAGAGATTCAGTAATAGAGCTAAATGACAAGAGATTGACTGGAAATTTAGGAACATGTAAGACATGAGGTAAGGACAATGTCTTAGTGCACCTAACAGATCCACGTCCTGTGATAGGTGCCATGGATCCATCAGCTACACGTACTTTGTCCTTAACTGAACAAGGTGTATAGGAAGTGAATATATTTGAAGCTCCTGTCATGTGATTGGTAGCTCCTGTATCAATAATCCAAGATTTTGATTGCATTGTAGAATTGTGGGTCTGGTGAGGTGTTATACCTTGGAGTGAAGTGGCATGCAAACTAGTTTCAGCTTTAGAGGAATCCTGGAAGGAAGACAAGTCTTCTGAGAGTCTAATCTTGGAGGTGAAATCCTCAAGAGCTCGCACATCTACTACCGGTAGCCCCCTCTTGGATGTAGTGAGATTCACCTGTCTTTTATGAGGTCCTTGACCTCCCCCTGGCTGAGATTTTCCTTTTTCCCACCAAGTTGGATAACCATGCAGCTCAAAGCATGAATCCTTTGTGTGTCCAGGCCTTTTGCAGTGGTTGCAAAAAAGTTTGCTTTTATCTATTTTAGCAAAGGTCTTAGGAGCACGACGAGCTTGTATGGATAGGGCTGCACGTGCATCTGATTTTTCTTGAACATGCTCATTGGGTTGAGCAAGACGAGTCTCCTCCTCAATCACACTGGAAATGATATCATTAAGGCTTAGCCATTCAGTTTTGGAGAATATTAGCTAGCGGCGGAGAACAAA